AGATGATAAGCCATATTTGAGGTCGATGAATGTTAGGAGAGCATATGGATGTCCTGCCCAATGTACTATATTACCACATAGACCAGCCGTTAACGATTTGTCTGTCACAGACTGCGAGATTTTGCCACTTCATGTGGAATTTGTTTTTTCTGCGACTAAGCGACTAATAACATTTTGGTAATATGCATATAAACAGCCTTTTAATTAGCAGAGTAGAATAATCATGGCTGATAGTAAGACATGCAAACATAAAAGAAAACCAAACTGGATACAGCTATATATTACTGAACAGCTATACATTAAGGATATAATCAAACATTTGGAGTTGGGATAACCTCCAAACCAAAGCAGATACCTTTTTAAAAGCTCATTATCGTCAAATGTTTCTAAAATGTTTATATTCCGAGGTAAATTGCTGGCAACAGCCATTTTAGGATAGTTCAGATTTGGTCTTCACTACTCCTAACGTTTCACAGATTTAGGAGCTAATTCTAGCGCTAAAACGCTTTGTGAAATACTCTTAGAACAAAAATTTAGGAGTCCTAAATTTAGGACTGACACAAAAGAAGCTAAAAGCAACTTTCAGTAAAGTTTAAGACTGATTCTTAAGTGTTGACTGAGGTGACACTTAAGTGTTGTGAACTAAGGACTACAATGATGTCAACACAAAATGGCCGACCTCAACTTCTGAATCAGCCAATAGTGAGCCTGCAAGGGTGAAGTCACAGCAACATGACATCATTTATAAATCCAGACAATACAATTGTTCTGTTATTTAACTTTATTTTAAAAGGTAGCTTTGCATTATGTGCAAAACATTACAAATATCTACACTTATTTTACACCACTACAAATAAGTTTATATTTCACAATCTAGCACAATTTTATTAATAGGTTTACATATAAATATAATCCATTTGTGAATTTAATGTAATTAAGTTGACTAATCACATCACCCAAATTGCACTCAGCTGTATATAAAAGAAAAACCAATATTCCAAAATCTTAAAAATGGAATCAAAAAGAAAACCAAACTGGTCCAAGGAAGAAAGTATTCTTCTAGTGCAATCAGTCCTTAAATGGAAGGACATCATACGAGGAAAATTCAGTCCGACTGTAAAAAGTAAAGAAAAAAAAAAAAAAATGCATGGCAACAAATTGCCATGTGTCACAGTACAGAAGGAGACCCAGAACGGAGAGATAAGGTTAACGGAGTTCTTTATTGAACCGGGGTGCTCAGGGAAGAGATGGAGAGCAAATGGGTTAAGGTAACAGTCTTAGTAACTGCAGGGATCTAGCTCACGTGGTGACGGGTTCTTTCCAGGATCGGACTGAAGATGACTTCGAAGAGACAGGTGGGTACCAGGTCGGCGTCCGGGTTCGTGAGTCAGGTAAGGAGTAGCGTAGTGAACTCAAGACCAGACGAAGTGTGACTGCAGTGGCTGTGCATTTAAACTAGTGCTGATGAGGTGGTGACAGGTGCGGCTGATCAGTACTCCGGTGATTGTGAACGGGTGTGTGAGGTGATTGGGCCTGACGAGGCTGGACTATCCCTGACACCATGACTAAAAATGCAGCATTTCCTCAGACAAGCCAGCCTGCTGAAGACTGTGAGAAAAGGTGGTAAAATGTATTGGCAACATCTCGCAAAGATATTGCAGCATACAAGGAAAGCATGTGTGCCACAGGTACAATTTATTTTAATCTTACTAAACTCTTTTTTAAGTATGAAATGATTGTTTCAGTGTGGTCAGTAGCTGAGTTCTTGTCAAATAGGTGGAGGCCCTCCATGTAATCCTCTGTCTGAGATTGCTGAAATGGTAGAGGAGATACTGGGAACGGCCAACCCTTCCATTTGTGGCATTGCAGATGCCCCGGACCCTGCACTGCTCAAATTAAGAGTTACAAAGATGGTAAGAAAATGAATGTGAATCTTTCTGTATTAAATTGACATTAGTTACTTTAATCTATGGACACTGGGGGAAAAAAAAAAAAAAAAAACACCACATCGGATTGAATAAACATGTTTGCACCGTTTAATATTTTCTGCATGTAAATGTAGTGCTGATGACGCTGGAGCCGGGCCATCTGACGTGCCACATTGCACCACATCTCAGGATGTCTTCCTGTGTCCTCCAAAAGAGGCTTCTGCTTCACAAGACACAGGGTTTGCACCGAGTGTAGCGCCTGAAGATGACATTGAGTCTCTTAAAATAAAAAAAAATAAAATAACAAATCAAGTTGTTGAAAGTTCAAAATGAATATTATACACTAAAACTGAAGAGATTAAAGAATACTCAATGATTGAACATATGTTTGAGTAAATAAAAGTGTGAACACAAATTTGTTAATAGTTGCGTTTTCTATTGGTATGTCTCCTCGTTTACAGTTGGAGCAATGATGTGAACATGAGTTCAATCAGTGGCTCCAACAACTCCATGAAAGCCCACAATCCTCATAAAAGTGGCTTGTTTTAGCAATATGGTTTGGCGGTCTGTTGGAAAGTTAATTAATTGCCATGTAATAGTGGCCAAAAGTGAGGTCCGGCCTAGGAAACTGAAATTTCACCCTTAATTAAATAAATAAATAAATAAATGTTCAAGATTTTGTAAGCATATTGCATAGTTGCTTGATGTACATCTTTGTGGGCAAGTGGTCTTAGGTTGCGGAGTCTGGTGGTCAGAGATCCCCCAGGTGGTTTGGGTGCTCAGGTTCCTGGGGTTCTGGGAATGAATGTCCTGAGCCGCTGCTACCGGGAGCTCTTTGGCCAGCATGGCACAAGTCTTTTTTAATTTACCTGTTGTGTCACAGCCCCCTATTTCTGTTTTCCAGGCCTTACAACATTGCCATCACATTGAAGTCCAACCAGTCTCTGATCAGGGGGGTCGAGTCAAGGTGCGTGGACGCCGGGCGTGTCGCATCCCAGGGGGCACCATGAAGTATTTATTGATGTTCGGGCAGGAGCCTAGACTTCCAGTCGACTTCCTGTTTGGTAGAGTTGAGGAGCCGCTGGCAGGTAGTGTTCATCGGTGGGTCCTGGAGCATCAGGATCGGTTGCAGGTGGCTTTTGAGGGTGATCGTGAGCGGTTGGGGGCCGCAGCCGATCGCTGAAAGGCCAGGCATGATCCGCAGGTACGAGAATCACCACTGAAGGAGGGCCAGTTGGTATATCTCCGCGACTATAGCGTGAGAGGTCAACATAAAATCCACGACCTGTGGAGCTCAGTGGTGTACCAGATTTTGAAGGCACCTAAGGAAGGGGGTTTGGTGTATACGATTGCCCCCACCACAGATTTAGGTAAGTTAAAACATGTGCACTGATCCTTGCTGAAACCTCAGATCGACAGGAACCCCTCTCCGGCCTTGCAGGACATTCCATTAGTGGAACCTGTGCTGCCTCGGGAAGAGGAGTTAGATGAGGGAGACTTGTTTGTCCTGGTGCCAGAAACACCTCAGGTTAATAGTAGGCAAGCACCTTGGGGTATTTTCCAGTCCGTCCCTCAGGGGTCTGGTGAAGTCCAGGGAGCAGAAGAAATTCCTGAGGCAGAGGTGAACGTGCAGCCAGTAATGAACCCTCCTTTAAGTTCTGCTGTGATGGGTGAGAGTGTGGTGAAGAGGACTGGAAGGAGTACGGCTGGGCAGCACTCTAATGTACATCATCTCCCACGATCATTGGGGGCAGGTACAGTGTCTAGTATAGTGGGTAGTACAGCTGTTGCTTGGTTCCGTCCTTGGGACTGAAGGTTGAGAGGGTAGGCTTTTGTTTAGTTCATCGTCGGGGCGACGATGCAGAAGCTGGGGGTGGATTGTGACCATATGAATGAGGTAAGTGATGGTGATTGACACTTGCGATCACCAATGAGCGACAAGTGCTTTTTATTTTAGAGCTGGTTGGTTGTAGCCTGTTATGCGTCACGTTCGGATCCTCCCCTTTGTTTTGTTTGTTGACGGTGGTTTCAGGTATGTGCTGTTAGCATGTAGCAGTTCCTTAAGCTTTTAATTACTGGTTGTGTGGCACTAACGATTCGTTTGTTGCATCCTAGCCTGTCTTTTCATCTGTGTGCGTGTCTCCTTCGGTTGCATGGGTAGATGACTGCCCAGCTTTCAGGTATGTGAGCTAAAGTTGTTTTGTAGCAAGCAGATCATCTGGCTTTGCTTAAAGTCTCGACGATTGGTGGGTGGTTTAAATAATGTGCCGTTCCCTGTACTTCAGTTTAGCGGTGGGTTATATGAAGGCTGCGTATCCTGGCCTGTGAACCGATTATAGAGCACAATTATCTCTGTTTGGTAAGTGTCGTGCATGTGGTTACAAGAAGGGAATTCTACCTCGCAACTAACAAAGAAGATTGCTGCTGTTGTCTGTTTTTTTTTTTTTTCCTCTGACTTTTAGTTCATTTTTATTTCGGGGTGGGGATAATTTATTTGATTATTGGAGCCGGTGTACGGACTACTCGGTCGCTCCCTGCGAGTCCTGTCCACCCCGTAGTTAAAATTTATTTTTTTTGTTGTTTGGTTATTCTTTTTCTTTTGAATATTTGTATATTGTTATTTGTGATCTTACCCATCATTGTTTGCTTTATTATGAAACTGTGACTCCATCTATCTGTGACTTCATTTACTTGTGTTTATAAGATTTATTTATTTGTTTTTGATTTTCTTTCAAGAGCTGGGGTCCCACTGGTGAAGGATCTTTTGTGGTGGTGGTGGTGATGCTCCAACGTTTGCTGTGGGACACTTTTGAAGTGTTTGGGTGCGTGATCTGAGTGCACGTTGGTGCGTGTGCTTTTGGATAACTTGTGCTGGTGATCACTCCTGTGGGTAACCTCAGCCCCGTAGGTTGGTGTAGTTTTTGTTTATTTTGAGTTGTGTAAGTTTTTTTTATTTTTTTTTTATTTTTTTTTTTTTTTGTAACGTGTTTTTCTGTGGTTTTGTTTTCTTTTTTTTTTTTGTTTGTGTATTTTTTTTTGTGAAGTGTCATTGCAGAGAGAGCTGCCAGGGGTGGCACAGTATCATCGAGGCTATTTTGAATGCTTTCGTTATCTTATTTAATCTGTGAATACATTTTTTTTTTTTTATACGATCCCTACGTTTCTTGCCTACCTTTTTTATTAGAGAAGCGAACCTGTGTGACCTAATAACAAATTTTGGGGTTATTTCTATTTTCCTGGGTGAAATTCCCCAGGTGGCGTACTCAGATTTTCTACAAGTAGATGAACTTGGGCTTGTGTGTTAAAAACCTGTACCGCTCCCCGCCACACTGTCAAAGAAGCCCCAGGTTGATTTGGATACTGGACTTCAAAATCTTCTAAGTAGGCTGGATGACAGACTGAACGTATAGGACGTGCACCTTGAGACTGGTATTAATGCATTCTTGTCCAGTGAAAACACAAGCATCCGGCTCGAAGGATCAAATTGTGTAACTGAGTTTGCTTGGGACTGTATTGCACTGGTGTAGCGTAGCTGTGTTTGCCCTGGTGTGTCGATCAGAACACAGGAGGCATGAATGAGAATCAACAGTCTTTAATCAAAGTTCAGCAAATGATGAGCACAATGAAAAGCACAGCCAGACCACAGGGCATTGCTTGGAATTATCTTCACAATAATGATATTTGAGATAACTGTACAGGTGTAGGCATGTGTGGTCTCGTGCAGTCGGCTCAACCGGAACTGAAAGTTAATGACGCACGAAGTAACCTGTGCTCTGATTGGTCATTCCTTCCCAACACACACATATATAGCACACCTCAGTACCATGGTAAAAACATAACTGGTAACACTTTATAATAACTTTCATTAATAAATCATTAACAAACATTACATAATGTTTAACTAATCATTACTTAATATATAATCACATATTTAGAGATATGAGATAATGTGCTTGTTAATGTTAACTAATGAACTCATTAAACACTACCAAATGATTAACAGATCACTATTTAATGTAAATTGAAATGCTTACAAATGTCATTAAACTTTCAATTCATATGATCATGCATTTTTTTTATCTTATGCTTGACTGATCATTAGTTAATGGTTACAAATGTTGTGCTCAACTAATGCTTAATTGTGAACAAGTTAACCATTAATTAATGCTTAACTAATGCATTATTCTGGACCCCTATTCTAAAGTGTTACCATGTCGGTAAACATTCAATGCATTTTAAAAGTCAACAAATGATTTTAATATAAATTACACAATGATTACAAGTTTATTTGTTAATGTACTGTTGAATGCTTACAAGTGTCATTAAACTTCAGTGCACATATTAGCTAATGCTCATTTTTACATTTACAGATGTGATAATATAGCTTAATTATTAATTTTAAGCACTTCACAAACTATTAATTTTAATATATTCACTAACTCATAATCACAGTCTGTAAAGGTCATATATTTGGTCTTTGTTTGTTGTGTAGAGTGTAGACTTCTATTATTTGCACATCTTAAATCATTTATTAATTATTTGTTTTTGCAGTACCCAATCTAAAGTGGAAACTATTCATCAATTGTAAATGTTTATAAACATTTACTAATCATTAGTACCTTCATGAGCAGTCATTTTGATGGCAAAAAGCGTCCAAATGACTGGAATTTACCCTATTTTCACATCTTTACAAATCATTTATTAATCATGTGTTTATGTTTTTGCAGTACCCAATCTAAAGTTAAGACTATTCATCATTTGTAAATGTTTATAAACATTTACAAATTTTTTTAGTATCTTTATTGGCACTGGACTTTTACCTACTGTAACAAAGTTTGTGTAAAGGGTGGTTAGTTAAGTTTAGCTAAATGTTTGGTAAAGACATTACACA